AAGTAGGGAGAGAAGACAGTGAGGTGGTAGACAGGGAGATGATCAAGATAGTGAGAAGAGTTCTGGAAGAGAGACATACCTGAGTGAAGATACGGGATATTTGAATTGCGCTGTTGAGTGTTGGTGATTGAAACTCTTCATTGCTCATGTGATAATTTGTTGAGATTATAAGCTGCACTACCTGGTCTTCATCTTTCTGGTCTCCAGTGTGAAGATTCGTGTGATCTCATACATGCATGTGGTGTGATTGTGTGCGCTCACTGGTGTTGAATTAAGAGGTTCATTGCAAATAGACTTTACGAATTCCGCTTTCACTACCTGTGTCTTAGCTCCAACGGCAGTGGAATGAAGCATGCAAATTTAGAAAACTCCTCAACAATCAGAGTAGCCACGCCGACGGTCGGTGCCTTTGGGTTGGTCGGCGACAGTCCAGCCAACTGTTCCACGGTCAGCTCCTACAGGTCGGCTGTCGGCCAGCACCCTGCAACTTTTTTTTACTTTTTTTTTTTGCAGGGTCCATAACCTCCAATATCCCCCCCAATACCTTTCTACATCCCCCCAGCCCCTCTATACCCCCATACCACCCCCAACACTCTCATAACCCTCCTCACAGCCCCCCATACCCCCCCATTACTACCCTTCCCATAACCACCCCATCCCCAAAAGTTTCTCGGCCGATTCGGCTGTACTCAGCAAGCGCAGTATAGCCCTGAACTCAGATTGAAAAACAAATCAGTGGATGGTCCTCTAATGACTGGTCGGCAGACCACCTACGGGTCAGCCCAACCGGTAGGCAAGAAGACTGTCGGCCGTCAGCGGCAGAGTGCAGGTGGCCTGACAACCATGTCAACAATTACAAAAAAATGCTTCCTTTCCTGCTGGTCAGAAGCTTGTCCATGAAGTCCGTGGCAAGAGACTGACCAGGTCCTTCCGGGATAGGAAGCGGCTTGATTAAGCCGAGAGGAGCTTATGTGCGCGATTTGTCCCTTTTGGCAAACCTTACGACTCCCAATATACAACTGTATGCCCCACTTCATAGCGGGCCACAAAAGAAAACGCTGCAACAAAATTAGCTTTAAGTCTTTCTACACTCAAAGTCGCTTGTTGCATAATGCAATGCTCCTATAAACAGGCTCCTTAGAGGTTCTGTAGTAGGCACACAAAGTCTTCCTTCCCTTCCTTACTTAGGAACAGCAAACCTTCCACCATCCTGTTGATATGTACCGTCCCCGGCTTGCGTGTACTGGGAGTGGTGATCTCTAAGGTTGCGAGCATGGCAGCCGAGTACATCTCTGACTCCCACCGGGGATGTGATGATCATACTGTTCATGTGACGCGGCTGAGGCAGAGTAGCGAGACCGCGGGAGAGAGAGGGAGAGAGTAAGGGCACACACACACACTCACTTAACTCGATTCGGACTCGACTCGGACACGGACTCAAAGAGGCAGAGTCGCAAAGTCACAATCTTGGATCCCAAACACAACGTCGCAGCAAGTCACACTGAAGCACAAGCACTGAGGCTGAAAACTGAGTGTCTGAACTCAGCTTGAGTCCGGTCTTAAGTACCGGACTCAAGTTCAGTCCTGAGAGCAGAAGTGCAATTTGCCTCAGGGCTGAACTGATAATCGAAGGTCTGAGTCTGGGCGCCAGAATGCCTGATGGCGCAAGTACCGAAATCCGAAACTGTCAAGGGAGGAATTTGAGAACGGGCGCCAACTGCAGAGGGCGCCAACAGTCAGGAACCAGAGATCAGAAACTCAAAAAAAATAAAAAAAATAGCAGCCTGGCGGGTGGTAACCCGCGGACCAGGGATTGAGCCCTGGCTGAGTCCATAATAGTTCATGTACAAAAGAGGGTGCTTCTGGGAGACGTCAGTCCACATGGGGAACATCTGCGGTGAAAAGGCACCTGTGACAATCGATATCACCATAAATTTGTTGATGATGAAGATGATGATGAAGGGGAGAAGGTCAGGGGGTAGGCAGAGGGGACAATGTTGTAGAAGATCCAGGTGAGGGGGCCAGTGGTGGTGGCAGGGAATCAGCAGGGGGAGAATTGGTGGGAGAAGAGGGCGGCAAGCGATGAGCGCTGAATGCAGCTTGACCACTCGACTCTCTTTCCTGTTTGCTATACACAGCTCCACAAAAAAAA